TCTCAGCAATGACCGATAATTGGTCAGGAGAAAAGACTCCAAGCACTTCCCAGCAACTCCAACTCCCTTAAAGGTAAAGTAACTCCATGACACCATATCCATTTGGAATCTTAGGGAATAACTGACCCATGGTGTAGTTCTCTTTACTTTGTAGTGATGGGATAACCTGCTTCAGCTCTCTCTCCAGAAAACCAGGAGCTCCAGGACTATTGGAGATGCAAAAACACTCGCTCGCGGTGAGAGACTTCTCCAGGGTCAAGCTGTTCAAGTATAAGCGATTTATTATAAGAGTAAAAGGAGGGGAGACCCGTGTCCGCCACCAGCCTTGGCGTCCACGTGGTCCGGGGGAGGGGAGAGAGACCAGGAAGAGCAGGGAAGGTGAGGTTGGAAGGGAGAGGGAGGGAGTAAGAGAGCAACAGAGGGAAAGAGCAGGGAAGGCGAGAGGGGTAGGAACAGGGAGAAGGGGGCTGAGAGTTAAGAGGGGGGAGAGGGGAGAGGGGTAAAGGGAGGAGGGAAGAGAGAAGAGTAAAGAGGCAAGAGGCAAGAGGTAAGAGTAAAGAGTAAAGAGTAAAAAGAGCGAAGTTCTTGTTACAATCCAATATATCTTTTTCTATCGTGAATATTCTAATTACCAGAAACCAATCACCAAGAGACACACCCACTAAAGAATTTACATACAACCTATGGGCTTCCCTATATTAACATACAGTGTTGCATTTTATACTCTACAGAGCTTTACAAGTTCTTTCCTTGCTTCTTTACTTTTGGACTCTTCTTATCAGCAGAAGGACATTGTTTTATCAACAGGGATTCTCCTCTAGCTGGCTAGGCTATTGTTCTTTGGTTAACCAGTACTCAGTATCCTATAACTCAAAGCAGGCTTTCATTTCTACTTTGATTCTAGCCTTCATATTTTCACAATCTAGTGCCAAACAATCACATTCATAAGGTTTCCCTGTTTCACCTTCCCCAACACAGGACTATACGCAGAGTTAATGCTCGTTGAGAGTTTCCTAGTGCAAGAAACAAGAGGAAAAAATTTAATCTATTTTTAATTGATAGATAGTTTCAGACATTCTCTTCGCAAGATGATAATATAATCCCGGAACCTGTCCCAGTGAAAATCAAGTAAGTTCCATTTTCCGGCTGAAGAAGATCTTCTGCATCCTTGGCTGCCCTGCTGTTCCAGTGACCTATGGAAGCCTCTGGAGCATCCAAGCCCCATTCCATTGTGACCCCTTACCAGCCCCAGACACTCCCGCAAGTGAAGCCCAGGATGGCACTTTCCTTGCAGAACATGTCCTTGCAGGTTGCACTTTGTCCAGTTTCAGACCTTTTCCTATGTCCCAACCCCATACTAGTCACAACTAGATGCAGTTGCTTTCCCGCTCTTCTCTCTCTTCCTCAGGAGACAGACTGCTCTAAGTATATCTGAAGTGGCTGTACCATTTTTTCAAGCCTTCTTTCTTCTCTCCATGTCTTCTCTTTCTTTTCCCTATATCACCAGCTGGCCTAGATTATAATGTGAGACCCCAGCAGCTTCAATTACAAATCAGATGTGACTGAAGAAATGGGATAGCAGCTAGGGATGGAGATGACGCATGCATGGCACTAGGTCTAATCAAACAACTTCTCACATTATTCTCACTGTGAGGTGGGAGATGTGTGAGCAAAAGGCAAGTCAGCACTTGAAGTACTCGCAAAGACACATCCCCAGGAAAGGTATCTGTAATGAGCTGACCGTGCCACTCAGCACAGCACCCAGCTCAGGCAAGGGCTGTGTTTAATCCACCTGAGTTCAGCAAAGGGCCCAGAGACTTAGAGTGATAATAAGGTACCTTGAAAACAATCAGCCACGTCAAACAAAGACTGCCAGGTGGAGGGGATGATTGTACACAGGATACCCACAGATGCCTTTGTGCCCCCTGGAGATGGGACACTGTATGCCTGCCTGTGGGATAGTGCATGCACCACCTTCATCTGTTATAGAGCTGTCACTAGTGTCACAGAGCTGTTGGGTCTTGCTGGGGTCAGGATATGGAAGGAGACTGGTGTGCTGGAGCCCTCTGCAGCATAGCTCTGTTCAGGGCAGCAGGGAATGCTGAGTGACCCATGGTTGTTGGTGGACCTGTGTCTGTGGCGCTGCAAATGCTGGGTGTTGCAGATTTTTAGTCCTGGCTGTGCTTGACAACTCTTTAGAGGAGGCAGGTGCTTTGTTGATCTGTAGGGCATAGAAGGTATCTATAGAAGAGCGCTTGCTTTGAACCTGGAGAAGGTCAGTTGCGATTGTGAAGCTGCTGTAAATCAGTTCTCCCTCTTTTACATTCAGGCTAATAGCTGTTTTGTGTTCAGGAAGCTTTTCTCATTTTAGATGGAGATCTTCTGGTTATCCCCACACTGTAATGTTTTAATTCAGAGTCTATTGCAAGTAAAATATGTTTATTTGAGACAGTGGAGATTTAAGTCCTCTCTCATTGCATTAAATAAGGAATAACCCAAACAGTACCAATCCAACCTTCTCCTTGCTGTGCGTCAACCATGCCCAAATCATGAAGTTCCTATAAATTTTTACAAGTGCTAAAGAAGTGCAAAAGACATAGTGGTCTCCCTTTGATGAGGAGGTGAACACATTTTAACCACTCCCATTCTCACACTACTGGCAGAGATGTGACTTACCTTCCAACATCAGGGAATTGTTGCCAGAGACAAAAATAGGACCCAGAATCCCTGTAGCCAGTCCATGATGTGTTGTATTGATGTATTTGGGAAAGGCCCTTAAGGTTTGTGGGGAGAGCCAGTGCAGATCCCTCCATCTGAACACAGTGTCCTTGATAACCCTGCCGAACATTGACAAGAAGAAATAACTGCTTGGGAACTTACCTGCCTGCTCAGGGAGTGCATTTTATGCTGTATAAGAAGACTAGTCATCCTGATTAAATCTGAGGATTGAATCCAAATTATGATACAGCTGCTGGCGTTGCACTTCTCAAATGAGAGAGCAGAGCTTGGTAGCTCCTCTAAGCAGTGCTCTAAGCAGTGTGGGATGAGTATTTGCTGAAGGTTACTCCTACCTCATAAGTGGGAGGGAGGTAGAATGTGGCCCTAGCCCAGTCAGAGGGGAATGTCAGATAACTGTTGTTTTTGGTCTGATGATCCTGGCTTCAACCCCTTGGAAATCATAGGGACCTGTCAAAGGTGGTTGGGTGACTGTGCTGGGTGAGGCAGCTGTTCCCTGATGGCATCCCTCTCTTGCTCTGTTGGGTCTCCAGTCCCCCCCGTGGTGGAGCCAGCCTTCCAGGACATACGGCAGGGCATGGGGCACAGTGTCACCCTGCGCTGCACCATGCTCAAGGGCAGCCCTATGAAGGTGGCCACCTCCGTCTGGCGCTTCAACGGCAGCCTCCTGGCACAGCCCCTGGCAGAGCAACAGGACTACTCAGAGCTCAAAGTGGACAGCGTTAGCTGGGAGACCAGTGGGAGCTACGAGTGCAGCATTTCCAATGACGTGGGGGTCTCTGCCTGCCTCTTCCAGGTGTCTGGTAAGTCAAAGAATGCACTTCAGAGAAAGCTGTTGAATAGGGTCATGGGAAGCTTGCTTCTCATAAACTGGTGCCAGTACAGTGCCTCTATTGATTCATCTGTGCCCAGCATTCTGTTCAAGAGGAATGATTTTCCATAAGCCAGCAGGGAGGTCTATTTCCGTCATTCAGGTAGATGGACCCGGAGCAGCTAAGTGCTAGCCACGGTTACATTTTAGCAGTGTTCGACCACTTAGAGGACTTAAACCCTGCCATCAGCTTTCAAGCTTGAACAACCTGTTTCATTGATAAGTATTGACCAAGGGGAAGTCCTGTAAATCCCTCCAACAGGCTCCAAACCATCTGATTTCCTCTTTAAAACCAAACAAAGAAAGAAACAAAAACTGTATTTTGTATTCCTGTGCCTTCCTTGTGCCTCCTGTCTATCTGCATCTCACAGTGCTTTCTAGAAAAAACATGAGCTGGGAATGGACACTAGTACACAGCGGGTTTGCTGCTCACAGTTTTCTTTAAATTCATCATCAACTGTAACAGGACTCCTCTCCAGCACCTGCAACTGCAAAGAGGGATGGAAGACTTATAGCATCTAAAACTACACGGCTGACCTGGCCTCTCAAGCTGATCATTAAATCTGCTATTCCCATGACCTCAGAACAGACTTCGGCACAATTTTCTAGAAAAGCTCTCCCATCAAGTTGCCTTAATAAGCAATAAATTCAGTCCAAATACTAGGGTTTGACTCCAAGGCCAATTTATAATACTTTTCAAGTCTGGGTTGAAAAAATGAGAATGAGTAACATCCAGAGAGGCCTGATTTTGAAGCAAGTCTTTCTTAGGGTTTGGGAAAGCTCAGGTATGCCGTAACTCTGGGATGCTTAGAGAAATGGGAGAACCCAAACTACTTTTACTATTTGGGTCCCTTTTCAGGACCTTGCTCTCACCCCTTAAGATTTCCCAGCCTTTGTCTAACAGCAAATTTTGCTTGAGAGCTTTGGCCCTCTCTACCTTTCTCATATGCTTGTAACTCTCACATCACTAAGTGATAGCAAACCATATTCCTTTATGAGCCATCACAGAAAACTGCATCCCTGTCAAGCCTAGAATGCTCCCAGGAATTTCTCTTGGTGGCAGCAACAAATACATATTGGCACCAGATGTGCCATGCTGTGCCTGAGATAAGATCCCACCAGCAGAAAGCAGGTTTCATTCCTAGAGATCACTGATCAGGAAAGCAGTAACACTTTATTTTTCTTGCATCCCTTCTCCTTTTCCAAGACATTGGTATCTGATGGTAGCTGTTCAACTCCGGACATCTCTGCCCATGTCCTGGAAAGTTACAAATGAATTAGACCTTCTGAGCCTGTAGAACAACCTGAAAAAGACTCCAGTGACTAGACTGCTCTACTTGCACTCAGCATTGCTGGAGTTTTAATTCACATCAGCCACAACCTTCTTATTTGAGCAAAGAAAATAGCATAGTCTCTTTTTGTTTTTGTTTCTGTGGAAAAAAACCCAAAAACATAGACCTTCCTATGTGACAGAAAGTGGGTCATTTTTGACTGTGGGATGTTCAGATGTGCTGAAAATAGAGTACTTATATCTGACCAGGATGGGATTATTTTCTTCTATGGATTAGTGATTAGCTTTCCAAGATGTTTTGGAAGGATAGTGAAACATCCAACCCATTCCTCTTGAGGAAGTTATCAGGGCAGCCCATAATGTTCATCATCTGTTCCCTCAATAGCCACAAGCACAGAAGAGCTTGAAAGAGAGATGTGGATAATCTTCAGCTCTTCCCACCAGCTGTAACCAAAAGACAAAACTTTCCAGCAGTAGTAAAAGGTTGCAGAAGGAAGTTCTGAAAGTATTTTGATATGCAGCATTTCTATTAAAAAGTGCTTTTTTTCTAGCTTCTATTTCCATCTTGGAGTCAATTAATATCATGCAAGGTGATGATTATCATCAGTTCTGATTTTATTTCGAAATCCATTATAAAGCTTGATTTCCATAGTCAATACAAGTTGAATAAGCAGCAGTTAGTCTCTGAGGTGGTTCTGAACTTCTTGCTTGCACAAAAATTCAAGTCAATAAAAATAATAAGAGAAAAAGGACTTGGAAATAAATATCAATATTATACATCTGAGTTCATAAAAAATAAACACTGAATCCTGTCAAGCCTAATTACAACCATGCAGAATGGCAGGGCCTGTAATTTAAGTGGAAAGGTGGAGCAGATGACCAAGGGAAATGATGTTTTTTCCTGTTCTGCTCTCCAGCATCCCTTGCTGCCCAGGCATCTTTCTGGTCTCTTCTGGTTCAGACTGGACCTGAACCCAGACACCTGAGCTTTCATTCAGATCCAGCTCCTGCCTGGCTCAGGACAGGACCTGCCAAAAATTGAAGTTCTCTGGGTGAAATGATCATAATTTCACCCATAATAGGGCAAAAACAGTTGTGGCTAAGACTTCAGGTGCCTGTGCTCCCTTATGCATTAGTCCACCAGCTGCTGGGCATGACAGGCACCTTCAAATTCTGTTTGGTAATGATTCAGGACAGAAACTGCTGGGGAAATGACAGGAAGTCCCTTCTTCTTTGAACTGCTCATTTAATCTCTGGTACGTCTTCCCTTCTGTGTTTCCCTTCTCCTGCTGCACTTCATTTTTGAGAAGAGACATGAGTTTAAAAAAGACATCTCTGCCCCTGCCAAAGCTCCTGCTGCTTTTACCCAGGCTGAGGTCAGTGTCCTCTTTGCTGCCGAGTTGACTGTTCTGTTACAAAGAGGCTGGAGCACTGTGTTGTCAAGGCAGGGGAGATGCAATAGGAGCAAGGTCTCCTTTTTAATGCCATGGTCTCTGTGTGATAAATAACACTTTTCGTATGACCTACTGGCCAAATGATCTTTCCTCAGGGTTTGTTAGCAGGAGTCTCTGTAAATCAGCAGATGAAATGGGAGAAATGCCAGTTTAAAGCTGTTACTTCAGTCTGAACTACAAAGGAAGAGAGAAAATATTAGAGCTGGTTCCAGCTGGAGAACTGAAGTTGTTCCCACCTTCTCAGGTGCTGGTCATGTCCCACTGGTGTTGCAGGGCTGCTAATCCTCCCAACAGTTTAGGCTGTGAAAGCAGTAGTGATTCACAGAAAATAGTGGCACATTAGTGCAACAGAAAATATGTCCATTGTGTTAGAGGCAGGTCCATAAGCTGGGTGAGTGGAGCTCTTCCACTCTCACCATGTCTCTTTGTAATTTTTGTTCCACTTGATCCCACTCTTTTACTCTCCTTCCTCTTTTTTTTTTTTCTTTTTTTTTCCCCTCCAGCAAAAGCCTATAGCCCAGAGTTTTACTATGACACTCCCAACCCCACCTTGAGCGAGAAGCAGTCCAAGAACTATTCTTACGTCTTGCAGTGGACCCAGAAGGAGCCTGATGCTGTGGATCCCATCCTCAAGTACCGACTGGAAGTCCGTCAGGTAAGGTCTGCTTTCCTGGAGCCCCAGCATGTGGCCTATCAGGAGGCAATTACATCAACATTTCCTCTCTGATTAAGAGTTGAAAGTGATGATATTGGCAGATTCTGATGGTCTTGCACCTTCCCCACTGAATGGAAGAGACAGGCCAAGTGCTCAGCTTGGTGTTCATTTTTACCTCTGGGGTTGGATACAGTCAAGGTCTTTCAAAGCTCTGCAGCCCCCATTGCGCTGTTCATGCTCAGTGTTTTGAATGAGGTTTTAGTGGGAACAATGCCTTATAGTCATTAGTTGGTGGTGTAGATTTTGTAGGCCAAAGATTCAAATGAGTGGAATTCCATCCTCCTCACTTGCATGGAAAAAAAGGAATAAGCTGAAGAGCTCTCCAGGCAGAAACTGCAGGGAAAAGTCAATGGCTGTTTGTGTTGCAGAAGGGCTTTCATCCTGTTGCACTAACTAAGCTATTTGGACTATATGAACTCTGCAGGGGAAGAGAAGTGGGTTTCAAGGTTTCTGAGTTTGAGGGGAAATCATACTGGGGGTTGGGAGCTGGTGGAGAGAACTGAGTGAAATCTGAAGACATCACTGGTTGGAGAAGGTTAGGGAAAAGAGTTTGATGTTTTTAAAACCCATTATCTTAGCAGCATTGCCAGGTGCTTTCATCTATGCTCAGCAAAGTGCCTGCATTCAATATTTTTTAAAAATGGGGACACGTAAAATTGGTGGTTCGTGCCACTCAGTAGGAGCTGGGAAGCAAATGCATTTTGCAAGGAAAATTTTGTTTACTGTAGATAGAAAACAAAATAATTAAAAAGATTCAAGTGTCTCTTCCCTCTAGTTCTGCACAGTGGGCTCCAGTTTTATGTCCCTGTTTGATTGTGAGCTCTCTGGGGTGGGACAGCCTTTGTTTGTTACTCACACTGCATGGAGCATGTTGTCAGTTCTTAATAATAATACAGGACCCGGGGGAGCCTCTAATAATGAAGGCAGTTTGTCATAGTAGATCTTCCCTCTGAGCCAAGTTTCGCTATTATCAGCACTGCAACTCAATGAACAAATTTGTGGGTTTTATCCTTCTCCAGTAAGTTGAGGTTTTTTCCCTTTTTGCACAGTGTCTAAAAGTAATCTTGGTTTTAGCCTTCATTGAGCTCCTATTAAAAGGGATCAAGAAAAGGGAAAGTCACTTTTCGGCTTTAAGTTACAACATGAAGGGAGCCGAGTGCCATGCAAATTTAAACACACACACACAGTTTAGTTCATACCCCATTGGTTATTGCTGTTAATATTTTGCAGTATTACAACATAGTTGAGACTACTGAGTGCTGTATTTTAGAGGAGCATGACACCGAGGCCTTGCTGTACCCAGTTATATGTATGGGAGGGCTCTTGGAAATAGCTACAGGTGTCATCATGGTTGTCTGGGACTGAATAAGGAAAGACAGAGAGGGGAAGAGAGAGGAAAGCTTTGTTCCCACTTGTGTCAAGCACGAGAAGGAAACACTTTCCTGTGACACTGCTGTAAAAAATTGAATGGTACTGCCTCCTCCTAGCTTTTCTCCAATGAAAACACTTGCATTTCTGGTGAGGTCTCCACTTCTATGAGTCATATTGAGGTCTTATGGAGCCCTTGCAATTTCCTTGTCCCAGAGGATAACATCCCCTCTCACATCCAGCCTGCTGCTTCCCTCTGTTAATGTACTGCCTTCCCATTGTTTTCACTGTGACATCTCACATGGGCTCCAATAAGCCTTTCTCACCTTTCACTCCTTCCCATCCTCCATTACCTTCTCTCATATCCTGCAAATTCTGCTGCTTTATTGCACCTTCTTCTCTGTGCTGGGGCACCTGGACTAAGCTGTCCATCCTTCTGTTCCATCACTGGACTGCAAAACATAGTGAATATAACTGAAAAGCTCAAAAGCCTTAAAGTGTTACTGGCTGGAGAGCTCTTAAGAAAGAGTATTTGTCTGCCTGAGCATGGAGCTGCTGCTTGCCTGCGCACACTCCTCACTGGATAGACTGGCTTTCCAGGCACTGGCTGTGGTGGCACAAAAATCCTCCTAGAGAGCTTGGATTGAAGTGGAATATTCTCCTTAGGTGAAACAGGCCTTGCACACAGCCAGACACAACTGATTTATTGCCAACATCAAACTGGTGGAAGCCTACCCAGCCAACTCACCTTCTCCCCCAGCCCTGGGAGCTCTGAAGCCTCAGTGGTCATGGCAGGGGCTCTTCAGCACCTTAAGAATGAATGAATGTGGCAGCCTGCAGTCTTGGTGAGGGGCTGTCAGGGGGAAGAAGGGATGGAAGGAGGAGAATTAACTCTTGCTGAAATCCAAAAGGCAACCAGTGGGCATGCCCACTGGTTGCAATTTAGTTTGCTCTTTTTCATTCCCCGCTCCCTGGTTTGCTCAAGGAGCTATTGACATATGTAATGTGAAGATCCCCAAGTAGCAGGATGCTTTGCAAGTCATCTGGGAACATTTGAATTAAATTTGCTTGCTGCAGCTGCTGAATGTTGGGCTGGGTAAAAGCAGAGTGCTACTTATTAACTGGCTGGCACTGTGCCTCCTCCAATTCTTCCTGTTCAGCAGCTTCCTAGGGCATTACTGGGGGCATTGCGAGCAGTCCAGGGGAATTTGGTTTCCTAAGCAATGTGTGGGGGCTCCTGGGAAGATAGGCAGATGTACTTCCACCAGACCTGATTGTTCCTAGCCTTCCAGAGCAGGCTGAGCAGCACAACAGACGCACCAGTTCCAGTAGAATAAGAATTAACTTTTGATTAAAACCATATAAGCAGCTTGACAGCTTGGAGCCACTGACCCAGGAAAGCACATATGATAGCAACTTGGAGCAAGCTTCTCTTGAAGCCTCTACTTTATGTCTCAGGAAAGAGGCTGTAATTTTCAGGAGGGTATTGTTCAGGTGGGCTTAGGCAGTGGCATTGCTGAGTGACAATTCAGAGGGGAAAATGTGCCCAATGAAGAGCAGCAGGGGCCTCACAGCCATCTGTCCTGACAGCTTGGAAGGTTTTTCCTTTCTTGCTGTAAGGCATCTGATCCAAATGCCAACCACCTTACTTCACCTTGGCCAGTGACCTCAATGAGGTCACAGCCTTGGGTGGTTTGGTTGTGGGCAGATGCCACAAGGCTTTTGGGCTATTTGTTTTCTCAACTTTCTTTTCTTCCATGTATTCTTGCATTGTAGAAAAGGCACTGAAATAATGCATTCCAACTGAAAATTATTTTCATTGCCTGGGGATTCAAAACAGCCTCCCCAAACCAGATCTTTGCTTAAAAAATAAAAAGCCTTTTAAGTTGCTTGTTTCTCTCTACTTTATACCCATCCCAGGGCTCTGCTCTAGCATTAAAGAGAAATGAAAAGCCATCTAATACTGCAAGCAGGTTGCATCATGGAGGAAAGATCTAAGTTGGGATGGTAGTTATAGTTATGGGGGATAGTGGCAGAATAACTGTGCACTTAATGAGCTGGAACCCATCCGTGACCTGAGGCTACAAGAGAAAGAGGAAGGAGAAGCTCTTGGTGTGGTAGGAAAGTTTAATCTTCACTGTTCCCCTCAAGGTGAGCTGAGGCTGCTGTCTCCCTCTATACTTTCTCATACAAAGGCTCGGGCCAGAACAGCTTTACATATTCCTGGCTTTCCCCTCCTCAGAGCAGGCTGAGCCTACCTGCCAGACAGACCTCTGAAATTTGCAGTGGGCCAGGCCCCAGACCCATTTGCTAAATTAGCTCCCTGTGTTGTCACTTCAGATTAATTCCTGTCAGAAATACCATCTTTAATGAGACTGCCCCTGTGCAATGCCTGAGTAATTGTATGGTCTTTCTTTGTTTGCACTTTCATCCTCTCCATGTTGGATAAATATTTCCTGCTGTCTACAAAACTCATCTGGGCATGGGAGCCGGCTGCCTCTTGCCTCATCAGCCAGCCAGAGCAGCATTAATGAGAGCTGCTGCAGTAGGGAGCCTGCATACCATGAGGGGAGGTGACAGATAACAGAGCTGTTGGGACAGACATAGGACAGGGGCGTTAGCAGTAATTCAATGACTGTGATTAGAGTGGAAGGTTAACTCCACCGACGGCCATCCCAACACAGCGCCAAGTTTTATGCCGAGGTCCACGGACTGTGGATCTGTATCACTTCATTTCTGCCTCTGAGTTCTATTTTTTATCCTTTGAGCCCACTTCGGCAGTGTCTATCTACTGCTGCCTGTCTTTGGCTTCATTGGCTCCGGGACCCGGCCACCCCTCCGAGGTCTCTCCCTGTATGCCCTGAGCAGGGGTGGGACTAGGCGAAAGGGAGGATGAACGGCAGTGCACCTGCCCACACTGTACCGTAAACGTTTGCTTGGGGATGCCTTTGGGTCTCAGATTAGAAAAGGCTGTGCTTGCAGACAGGTGATGTACTTGAGCAGGTGGTGCCTCTTGCAGCAGCCCAGCCGCGTATCTTGGAGGTGAACAAAATTCCTTTGATTCTGCACATGCAACGTGGCTTCAGGCAAAGAGTCTCGGAAAATGAGCAGCTGGCACCTTGGGGGTTGCCTGGGGGCTGCACCTCGGAGCGGGGGTAGGGGGACACCAAAGGCTTGCTGAGGAGGCAGCTCTGCACAAGGCAGAGTTCGGGGTGACTGAACCTGCTTTACGAAGGCTCTGACATTTTGCTGGCTCCACAGCACAATGCTGCCATTGCCAAGGCAACCGCTGCACACCAGGCTGGGTCTGTAGCCTTTATCCCAAGGCTCTCTGGTGCACTGACCCCACTGGCCCCATACTATGCATTCCCACATTAGTATTGCAGTGGGGTTTTCAACTAGGGAATGCTGCAGTGGCTGAGGAGGTGATGCCTGGTTTAGGACTTAACTAGAAAGCAGTCAGGGCTATCCTAGTTTTCATACTTAAAAATGAAAAGCTTAAAGAATTGAACTCTTTAGTTCAGCCTATGAACTAGGGAGGTACCCATCCTTCTCGGGATAAAATGTGGTTT